GCCCCCAAAAAAGTAGGTTCTTCCTGGAGAAAACATGGGGGCCTTTTTCCGGGAAACCCGGGGGGCGCCAAAATAGGAATATGCATTTTTTTTTTCCAAAAACCCCGCAAGGTACCGCAAAAACCCTGGGGGGGGGTTTTTGAACCATGGCTTTCCGCGGGGGTTTTGGGAGGGGTTTTTCTCAAGGGGGGGGGAGTTTTTTTTTTTCCCCAAAAAAAAAAAGGCCAATTTCAAGTTTTTTCCCGCCCCCCCCTGGGTTTTGAAAAAATTTTAATATTCCCCGGGTTTTTTCGGTTTCCCTGGGGGGGGGGGGGGGGGGGGGGGGGGCTACATGCCCACGCTCAAGAGAACCGGCCTCCGTTGTGGCCGATTCTCCCGCTACGGGCGGGATCCGGAAAAAGCACTGCGCACAGCACGAAATTTGCCCTAGTGATACGTGTACGTCCAACCTCAATGGTTGCCCCTCGTGAATTCGTTTGTTCATGTCTACCATGGGCGTGTCTTGTGCCGGTTGTCGTTGTTTGCCAGCGCACAGAGACCAACGCCCGCGGTTGGTACGACGACGAGTTAACGAAGCAGACCAGAGACTGGAAAGAAGGGTTCGATGTCGGGCATGTCCCCGAGCCAGACAAACCGCCAGACCACCCGTCGAACGTCGTGGCCGAGGGGTATAACCAGTGGCCGGGTGAGAGCGTGCCGTCGTTCAAGGTGCGCGAGCATCGTCGTAGCTTGGCGGCTCTGCCATCCGCCGCTTTTTGGAATAATGTTGTTTTGTAGCTTGCGTGTGCGCATTTCCCTCGGGAAAGTTAATTTATATTTGTGCTGTCGAAGGGATATTGCTGTGTGCGAGCAGCCCAAGCACTGGTAAGCCTGCTCGACGATCGCTCGAACCTAAAAGGAGGCCTGAGGTAGAGTCCCTGCCGCTGCCTATATTACCACCCCGGAAATGAACCACCCAACTTTAGACGACGCCTCGCCCTCAACATGCTGTTGCGGCTTCCGCATGCACAGGAGACCATCGACGAGTTCTACTCAAGCGCCGCGCTAGTCGCTCAGCGCCTGCTCGAAGGCATAGCGTCGCACCTCGGCCTCCCCCGGGGACACTTCGCGCCCTCTTTTGAGCCGCACACGTCCTACCTGCGGCTGAACTACTACCCCCAGTGCCCGGAGCCTTCGACCCTCTCCGTCAACCGGCACACCGACGCAGGCGCCCTGACGGTGTTGCTGCAGGAGAAAGGCACAACCGCGCTGCAGGTGTCTAACGTCGCTATCGCTGTACAGACAGCGCCCACGAAGCAGAGGGGGTTTTGTTGAGGCTGCTGCTTCCGAGCGTATTGTTGCTATTTTGGAACACCACCCACCCAGCCCCTGCCAGCACTGCGAAACGAAACACTGGTATTTCATTGTTCGAGCCTGTGACCTCAACCTTACGATGGGGGCCCGCTTGCCTGCCTTCACCTTGTCCTTGGTACTGAACACCAAGGTGAACCATAAGGGCACGGAACGATGGGTTTCCATCCCTCCGGTGGACGGCGCGATGACCATCAACGTGGGGGACATGTGAGGAGGCCGATTTGGGTTGTTAGGGGGGTGGTCGCAGTATCTGCCATCGTTGTAGCCGGGGGGCAAATATCCTCTTGTCCCTTCCTCGCGCCGTGCCTATCGATACAATGCAGTCTGACAGCGCCTGTGTGTCGGATCGATTTCTGTGCTTTCTACCGCACGCTCACGTCAATGACGGTCTTGTACATGTATTCCCTCCTTGGTGCAAGGGGTAGAAATTGGTTGCCTGCAGTGCGGATTGAAGCCAAGTTGATCTGTTGCGGTCTGTCCGAGCGCCGTGTCCTACCCAAGAGAATACAAACACGCGTTCACGTCCCTCGGAACGGTCGCAGAGATGAGTCAGAACGGGTCTCAAAGGAAACTTTTTTGCGCCCCGCCCGTGGTCTCTCGGCCGTTCGTTGCTCTCGTTGTCGATGATCGGTTATACCCTTTTCCGTCTACGGGGAGCCAGGCTTCAGGTGTGGACGAATGACCTTTTCGTCGCACCAGAGCATCGGGTGCTCAGCCAGAAGGACCGCGACCGGTTCTCGGCACCGTTCTTTTACAACCCGGCGTGAGTGGCTTGACCTTCCCCGTGATCTTCGCTTGTTGGTGGCACTTCTGTGTTGGGTGAAACGCTTACAGCGGGTGATTTGGCGACTGTTGTATTTCTCGTATCGCTCCCTCTTTTATCGACCTACCATGGCATGTTTCCCGCTGCGGAGTTTGTGGTGAAGGTCCAACTTCTTTGTTGACGTACCCTGTGTTCACACTCGCACGCCCTCCCACTCTTAGGTATCACGCCGACATCGCCCCGTTGCCGATAGAAGGAGAGCGGAAGGCCGATGACCAAGCGACTGCGGCGGGCGGCCTGGCGGGGCAGGGGAAGGGGCGCTACCGGCCCGTCAACTGGGGCGAGTTCCGGCTGCGGCGATTCGCGGGAGACTATTCCAACCAGGGCGAGGAGGTCCAGATTTCCCACTACCGACTCGACGCGTAGCAGTGGCATCTACAGACGCCGGAATCAAACCATTAGAATCGTCAGCGCTGATTAGTCTAGTCTAAGTCTGATGATTTTGTTTCGGCTTCTGTTTGCCCGCCTGTGAGGCGGGGACGATAGGTCGGTGATCTGTGTATGAATTGGTGCCGCGTCTACCCATGTGCGTTGGATCTTTTTGTGTGCGTAGGTCGCTGCTTGCTTTTTTTTGTGGACTCTGCTGATATCGTACGTAGGTAATAGGTGCCTCAAATATCAAAGACCACCCGTGGTTTGCTTCTGAGGGCAGGTGCTTGCTTTCGCCCAACGGCGTTTGGCATGTTCTGGTCGTGTGTTGACTCAACGTACAGTAGGTGGTAGCTGCTGCACCCACGCGTTGTAGAATATCGTTCAACGAAAAGGAGAAAAGCTGTAGCGTGGTGAAATCTGCCTCCTCTCCGCCCTGAGAAAAAGCAGGCGAGAGCGCAGCCTATATGATACATTCTGAATCTGAGTTCGAAGTATCGGTGTGTCCAAAAGGAGTTCGGGAATAGTTTCAAAAGGCGATTTGATATTCGAATAAGCAGAGTCAGAGGTGATTCCCTTGTTGTGAGGTCTGCAAATAGATTATACTAAATGTGTGGGGCAAACAACCAAGCCTGCTCCGTTTGATCAGGCAATCTACTCCCTTTCGTCGCTCCCTACATATGGGCCGATAGCAATAATTCACTGCAGCAGCTTGCGCTTTTCGACGTCCTTCGTTTTCGCTGCAAGACCATTTTTGTCTCCCATGTCGATTGTGGCATCTGAAGAGATTGTACGCATACAAGTATCATAGAATGCATAGACTACAACAACGACTTCAAGTTTTCATATTTTGTGGTGATTTTTTTTTTTAACAAGCAGCTGTTCGGGCACGCCTCCTCTGACAACATGTAGAAACAGCCTTTGCCTGCAGCCGCTTCCGCCGAGACAGAACGCGTCGCTGCGCTGACAAATTATCGCCGTCACCGGGAGGGTGGACGAGCCAGACCGTGTTTTACTGCCGACTCTATTTTTCATGTCGTTGGGCCCGACGAAAATATAGAGCGGGTTATTGTTCTGTTTCTCGCTCTTCTTTTTTTCTTTGAAGTTGAGCCGTTTTTTTTCCCTGCCCATGCAAGCCGCGTGCTGCTGCCAAAACAACCCGCTCTATGGTTTCCGGCCACACCACCCACACACCCGGCCTGCTCGCGCAGCGTTTGCTTTTCAAATTGGACCCCGAGCGAGGCCTTGACCCAATGGCGCTCGAGCAATACCTCATGCCCAGCGACGCCAGCAGGAGGGACGCCCATCTTCCGGATACGACGTTGGTGGAGGGCTACGTGGTAGAGCACGCCTTGCGATGGAAATCAAATTCTGTGGCGGGATACCTCAACGCCGGCGGCGGCATCGACCTAGGAGCAGGAGCGCCGGCCGACGTAGCGCAGCTTCAAAGGGCACCGAGGGTCAGCGTCACCCTGTCCGAGTACCTCTCAGCGGCCTCGCCCCACGCCGATCCTTCGTGCGACTACGGCTGGTACACCCCAACCGCCTCCGCCAGCTCTCTTCCTGCCGCCGAGAACTCCTCTCAGGAGGGATGCTACCCCGCGCCGCCGAGCCCGTCGGCCTACCCCAGCTCCCTGCCCTGGCGATGCAACCGGGTGGAGGTCGAGTCCACGGCCACGGTCTCTCTCTCGCCCGAGTCCATCGTGCTCGGCGGCGGCGGCGGCGGCAGCACCAAGGTGCATGAGGCTAATGGGTGCGCCAACAGTGGCAGAGGAAAGAACCTCCCAGGTGATACTCCACTAGTTGGGTTCGAAGAAAACAGCAGCAGCAGCAATAACGGCGGTGGCGGTAGTTTCTCCACGCGAAAACCACAGCAACAGCAGGAGCAGCATCAACTCGCACTGGTGCCACGGTCATGCAACGTGAGTTTTGGGGGTGGGATTGGTGGGGGGAGGGGTAGCAACAGCTCCGGCGCAGGCGCCTCAGGCCAGGGATTGATCGAAGCGAACGAAGGAGCAGCAGCAGCAGAGTCAAGCGCCGGGAGCATCGGTGTGCGATTGCTCCCCGTCAAGAAAGCCCGGAGCACTACGACGCACCTAAACTCTTGGCACCCGCTCTACCCTACGGTGTCAAGCAGCGGGAGGCTGTCGGCTGCGTCGTGTTGGGGCAGGTGCACGATGCACATCAGGAGGACATCTTTCCCCATCTCGACGAGACACTTCCCTGAGAAGCCCCCAACGCCGCCCAAGAAGCGACGATCGGACCGTATAGCGCGCAGCTGCAGCAGCTGGGGGAGTGGGAGGCCACTGAACGGCTCGCCTCTGCTTCAAGGGAGAGGAAGAGACAGGGCGGCAGCAGCAGCGGCGGCGGCGGCGATCCAAAAGGAGGAGGAGCAGCAGCAGCAGCAGCAGCAGCAGCGGGAGTCTCCGAAGGCTAGCAGACCGAAGAGCTATTCGTGGGCAGTGACGGAGATCAGGGTCATCCGACCGGACTTGCGCTTTCCGCTTGGGCCCGCGCCCGCTTACGCCCAGTACCTCGTGGTGGTGTGCATGGGGAGAGAGAAGCTCGTCGCGGGGTGGAGGAGGGCCTCGGACTTCGAGAAGCTAGCGGCCATCGCGCGCAAGGCCTGGATGCCGAAGGTGCGTGGGATGAGGAGGGCCACGTGTTTTTTGTCGTGGCGTTGCTGTTCTTGTTCGCCGTTTGAAAGTGCTATGCTAGGATTTGAGTGGCGCCGGCATGTGTTTTTGTTCCAACCGTTTTGCAACAACCCAAGCAGCACACGTCGCCCTTCTTGTTGGTGCCCCTGTTTTTGTGGTTGTTGTTGCTGTTGTTGTTGCTGTCTTGATGCACTCACCCGCTGCTTATCTGGGAGGCATGGGACTTGACGTGAGCGAGGTTTCGTTCCTGAACAGAGGGGTGACCAGTCCAGAGAGGTGGAAAGTTCCCGAAGTTCAATCGTCGCTACACCACACAGCCGATGAAGACAACAGTTTGCCTTTGGAGGTTCAACTATTGACGTCACGGGTTGGCTGTTCGATTTCAGATCGTTCAAGTTCAACGTATGATGCATACATACAGCACAAGACAGAAGTACGCACTCGGACGACGAGGCGGCAGAGAGAGGTACACCAGTAACGGCAGCCCACTTGCTCGTCGAAAAACTTCCAGAATGTAGAATACGTTTACTTCTACACCGTTTTTGCCATCGCTGCATCCGGGAACTGGCATATGGAAATTAAGGGAGAATAATTACAGGAAATGTCCCGGGCCTCTTCACTCACGATTGCCCAATTTTCTTGTATTTTTCTTGCTGCTACGGAACTACTGCTGCAGATATCGATGCAGTGCAGTGCCCATGCATACGAATGTGCTTCTGTACTGATCTGCGAGCAACCTACTGCTTACAGCAGTTGTGCCGTTTGCTTTTCTCTCTTCAGTTTGTATTTGCAATTTTAAAGGGCTTGAAGACAAAACAATGTCGATGTGCATTGTTCTGGTGCAAATGCAAAGGCAAGAGCACCAGAAAATGCACAAGAGACACACACGACCAGTCGGAAGGCATCGCCAAAAAACAGTAATCGTGAATTCTCTCACAGTGCGGCAGTTGTTGTTGTTGTTGTTGTTGTTGTTGTTGTTGTCTTCACATTAAAAACCGTAGAGGCTGCTCAAAACATACATTTCACGCGTGTACCTCCACACGCCTACTCTGGAATCAAGATAATAATTCACACTAAATTTACTAGTGAAAGAGCCAAAACGGAAGACGCTAAAATGCGGTCAATTTTGGGGGTTAGCTTTGGGTGTATTGTTGTCATCAGTAGAGGACACCATGAAGAGGCGTCGTGCGTGCTGGCACGTTTTTGAGGATTGCTACTGGAGCTGAAATATCGAAGGTCGCAGAAGCCTCTGAAAACAGTCCGAAATCTTCCCCGGAACCAAGCGGCATCCAACATTTGTCACAGCCGTGCTCGGCGCCACTGCTGTACCAAATCTCCTGAACTGCGGGGTTACAGCAGTAGCTGATGGCAATATGCATAGAAACCCAAAGCTAACCCCGAAGCTTGTGTTATTTCTTTGTATAGGATTATTAAAGTATGGGAAAAGAGCCAGCGTCAAAACCCCTTGTCTTCAGGCCCTTACACACGTTTCCGTCAGGTATTTACCTTACTCTAAGTGAAAATACCCCCCAAACCAACACTACGTTCCATCTGCACGACCCAAGTCCGTAGAAGAGAGTGCCAAACGCCCTCGATTTCGAGACATTCGAGACGAGATAGCACAACAAAGAAAGGCAGCGTGGATTTCATGTCCATGGCCCTTGTTGGCTACGATACAAGCTGGTTCACGGAAATGAACCCAAATTTATTCAACCACCGCTGCCAGACGAAGTATGTACACAAAATTGGCATATCTTGTATCAAAGCTACCCCCATGAGCAAGGGAACAAATCACCGTGGCTGGAATTTCAATCAGAGCCGTGGCCACAATGCAATGGGCATAAATGTGTCTCGGCCAATCAGAAGCCTCAAAATACGATATAAACCTAATAATGTATGCAACCCCGCACTTCCCACCTCTTTCTAACGTAGTTTTACAAAAAAATAAATCCTCATACTCTAGCGGACCTAAAGAAAAAAATATAGAGAGAAAACGGTCATCGTGGAAGCGAGTTAGCCCAAAATTGTGGCTCGTCGGCCGAGATTTGGCGTCGTCGAGTTTCCACGGACGGATTGTACTGGGATAAATACGCGAAGAGTCTCGTGTTGGTTTGCCTCGTATACATCGAAGGAAATGTTGAATCATCCTCAGATTTTGATAGCATGGTGCAACAAAGTTGCGTAAACCGTAAAAAAAAATAAGGCAATATTTGCTCTGCTGACGGGCGTATATGGCTCCCCGGTTTGGAACCCCCGAAAACCGGTTCCAATTATTATCACATGAACACCAGTTCTTTTTTTTTCCACTGCGCGATAATTCAATTATCCTTTCCAGAAAGTTTTGGAGTACCAACTTGTAAAACTGGCGCAGTACGGGGCTTTGCAGTAAAAACGGGGCCCCGCGGACCTGATTCACTAATATCAAGTAAGGGAAAAATCAGGATGGCGAATACTTCATGACACAAGAGCTAAAAACTTCACGCCGTTTTCAGGAGTTAGACTTTGAAACTTTGCACACATGTACGTTGGGTTGGTGCGAAACGCTGTGCGGTGGGGCCTTTTTTATTTTCTTCCATGGTCGCCGGTTATTCGGGGTCCCAGG